TCAGTGAAAACAAATGAAATAATTTACATTTTTTCTTAATTAAGATGTGTATGTATTTAAGAATTAATTCCAATCATTTGAACTCATAATCATTCCAAACCAATTATAAATTAAACTTAAAATTACGATCTTTTTTTTATGAATATTACATTTTAATTACTCGAGTTCAAATCAAATACAACGTAAAAACGAAGATTTATATAGGATAAAAATGACAAAGATTGGCTTCTCCAAGATTTGATCAAACAACGGAAAATCAATTTTAGGGGTGACTCCGAATCAAATTTGAACTCTATTGCTGCGTGAAGCTTTGTGTAGAGAAGTATGAGAGATTGATACCCTGCGTTTAACAGCAAATTCTACTACCTATGTTTCGGTCATATGCTCGCTCTTCCTGCTGTGGCGTTCCACTTTCTGCGGATCCAAACATCATGTTCTTCTCGATTGCAATCCTCCTCACCTGTTTGCCTGCTAACGGGAATAAGAAAGATCAAGAAAAAGTTAAAGAGTTTTATGTCAAGACTTCCGAGTCGAATTTTTTAAGTCAAAAGAACCAACCCACTTTATTCTCCGTGTTGCAAATATAGAAAAGATTACTAAAACTGCATGTTTGTAATGAATTTTACGAAAGTTATGAATTTGTTCCAAATACAGACTTAGTAAACACTGGTTTAGTGTCTCAGAGATTGGACAATCAAAGCAAACAACCAACAGTAAAAGTAAGCTAATAGCCAATCCGGATAACATTAGACAAGTCGATGGCTGACACTTCTCATGTGCGATTAAGACCATTGATTGAACCAGTAGAATGATAAAACATATCTGAAAGTTAAGACGACAGAGTGGAAAAGGAAGAGAGAAGCAGTTAACGGTAAAAGATTGCCTAAGAAATATTCACATATCAAGATACTTTTACAAAATAAGGAGCACGGTAAAAGCAATTCGCTAGACGAATTAAACATTTATACCTTGTCGTTTACCCTTATAGTCCATGCATCACTTTTTGGTCCATAAACAGGGTCACCAACAACATATGCATGAGGGTGATCGGCATGCTTCAGAAGTGGAGCCCTAGCTGGATCATAATCATCATCATCACTATCGTAATATTCATGTGGTCCAAGAGCCTTAAGTATCATGGCCAGTAACATGGAGAATCCCTGCAAATCGTTAACATAAAAGCTAAGGACCAAACACACAGGAAATAATTCATTCTTAAACTGGACCTGTGTTAGTTTGCTTAGGCTGCAAAATCGCCAAAAATGGGAAAGAAGATGAGTTCCGGCTGATCCCAATCCAATCCTCTGAGCTACAGGTCCCACCCCACCCCTACTGGATCTGTTCTCAGCAGTATCCTAAGAAGAGAGGGGGCTATTTTGCCGAGTTTCTTAAAGAGAATTACCTCGTGTCCTTAGGTACTCTCTACTTGCAGGGGAACAAGTCAAAATAGAAAAACTAATGATGCCTAATTAGCACATAAGGTGACTTTGGAAGCTACGACGACCTCTTCACAGACAAAGAACAACAAAAAATTGTACAAGAATTTGAGACACAGTTATATTTGTGAGAAAACAACCTGTACAAGTCATTTCAGTCTCGGCTTATTTGTTTACCAAAAATTGATAGAACTTGGATTAGTCTAGTGGGTCTATGTATAAGGTCAGACTTCATAGTTCATCCAAATTTCCTAAGCTACTTCTTAAACTTGAACCAAGTTCAAACTGAATAACACAGATTCATTCTTTTTTCCAGGTTTGTGGAGCAGAACATACGAGTGTTTCTTCAGGCCTGCTCAGGTTATAATCATCCTTAGGCATAATTATGGGTGTTCGGAAATTAAAATTTTCTCCATTTCATGCAAGCTCGGACATTTTTATAACCATAATGATATATTATATTTAGAGGCTTTGGGATAAAACGTATTGCATAATCAGTCTGTAATGGAGGACAACAAGAAGCACATCCTCAAACTTCATTACGTTTAAAAAAATGAGGGATCAAGAGAGATATGCACCTGGATAGATACAATTGACAAGCCGATCCATTTGCAGATCTCAAAATTAGACTCGATAAAATCTTTAAACTGATTGAAATTCCCGGTTGGATCTTCTGGGAAGTCCTGGTGCCAAGTTACACAAAGTTAGCGAACATAAGTTATTGATAAGCATCTGCAGAAATTCCAACCTCAAACTTCAACGAATAAAAATTTGAAAAAAGAAAAATATATGTTGCTCAGAGAATACCTTCTCCCAGTCACGGTTTAGAAATACATCAGCAACTACTCCAGCCTCCAGCAGAAAAAGTAGAAAGATAAAAAACATATACTAAAACCATTTAAGGTCAACAATGAACATAGTATGCCATGCACAAAATAGTTTAAGAAACATTTGAATTGATAGTTTGAAAGAAAAGAAAAGGGTTGAAGAGGAGGCTGCAGCATTAACGTCCAATTAAATTCATTAGTTCAAGGATACCAAATACAGGCAACAAGAATTGATAGTTGCAGCAGCAATATGACCTGTCAACATGATCACGCAGAGAGAGAACCCAATACCAAGAAAAGCAGACATGAACCTGTATTTTCATCAAAAGGAGAAAAGTTTAGTTGCTTCAAGAGAATTTATGAAAAGTAGCAATACAATTTACAACAAGAAATTCATTTATTTTGAAACCAATCCTTTTTCAATGTATTATTTGATTGACTAATCCTTTATATTGGAATGTATGAAGAGTCAAATGGTTTCGCAATTCCTCATGGGTGGATGAATCAAGAAAACTTTGAATTACGGCTCTAAATTTGTGGCCATCCTTCACTGTAACAGTATCTCGGGGTTTGCAGCAATAACTTGACATATATATTATATGACCATTAACTAAAATATCTCTATAGTTAACTAATTGGCGGGCTTGAGGAATAGTCAAAGCCATACCCATTCGAAAAAGGATGTTATCCAAATGCATATTGTACAGTAACAGGCATGCCTTCTGTTTAAAAATTTTGAAGCTCAAAATGAAAAATATCCTATACTGTTCTCATCCTCTCTTTTGCTATCTCTCTCTGGTTCTCAACTAAGGAAACATGAAGCTTAACTAGGTTTAGGCAACAAAAATTTCAATGACTGCAAACCCATTTGAATGATTATTGCTGTTACAATTTCATTTAAACCAGAGGAAATTAAGGGAAATAGAAAAAGAAAATCAGATTACATAATTCTTAAATAACTATTGCTCTTATAGTCTCAAAGAAGCCAAATCAAGTTCATATCAATTGATGCTCATTTAATCAATCCAGGAAAATGAAGATTTAAATACCCTAAAAACCATAGCAGAAATCAAAGCACTCCCTGATTCCAAAATCAAAACTTTCCAGGAAAATTCCCAACATTTTCCACCATCCAAGCAGACCCAGAAACAATATAGTCAATAATAATAAAAACATAATAAAAGGAAATTACCATGGAAGTGGGTAATCAGAGTCCCAAGAAGGGAAATCACTCGTTTGTTTTTCCCAAATCCTCATTAACCAAACCGCATAAAGGACCATGGCTAGACCAACCATCCCTATGAATGAATTCACAATTTTCAACAGTGATTGCAGACAGCTCCTCACCATTCTCCCCATTTTCTTCTCTATTCTTCCCCTTTCCTTTTCCTTCGGGAAATCTAGACTGGGCGGGTGAAGGGCAAACGAAGAAAGAAGGAGAATTGTACGGTTTGAAGCAACAGCAGATGGATGCAGATGCAGGTCAGCTTTAAACTTTGTATAGATTGGAAATAAAGTTTAATATTTATATAATTGATTTATTAATATAAATATTGTTTAATGATTAGAGGATGTTCTTGCTCAAAAAGAATTGAATTATGATGTTTATCTAAAAAATAATAATTGAGATAATTTAAATTTTATCTTAAAATAAAAGAAATTTTCTTTATTCATTGTTTAAAATCCAAAATTTAAATTTCACTGCAGAATGTATTTTAGAATAAGTTATTTCAAAGGACCAATAATTTCTTGACTTGATAATATTTAATTTTATCATATTTATAAAATATAAAAAAAAATTACATTATTTGAATAAATTATTAAATTAATTTTTAAAATTTAATAATTATTATAATTTTTTTTATTAATGTACCAAAAAACTACGCATACAAATATAATAAAACAATAATTATGAAAATTTTAAGAAATATGTACTAATTCACTTGTTGAATCAACTAACTTAAAAAATAGGTCGAAATAAAGAACAGGTCTCGATCAGTAGTAGGGTGTGACAGTGACAGCACCATAAAACTTTATGTGTCAAGTTCAGATGAAGCGCTAGTCAGTGCAAATCTTTATGGTAATAACACATAAAACTTCATGTGTCAAGTTCAGATGAAGCGCTAGTCAGTGCAAATCTTTATGGTAATAACAAATATTCAAATGAGAGCTTTAAAAATCGAAGATATGAAAAAATGTCATGCGAACGACACTTGCATATGAATTAGTCGATCCTAAGAGACGAGAGAAACCTGTCTGACACTGTGGCGACGCTGAGTTTCGAAAGGAAATCTGATTAAAATTCTGAAACCAGGACATGGCAGCCGACAACAATATTAAATAGTCTAGAGTCGTCGACAAAGGTCTTGAGAAGAGTTATCTTTTCTGTTTAACAATCTACCCGGCTTGAAAACGGTTTCAAATGTTCATTTTTCTTTTTTAATTTTAATAAATCCATATTAAATCAGAATGAAAAATCCAAAAATAACTAAACTAGTGAAGACTTGGGGATTCAGCAATTGAAAGGAAAAGATGGGAGAGGAGGAGATGGTGCGAAAATGGTGAGTAGAGAGATTAAATGTGATTAAAGTCCAAGTACATCCTATAAGCATCTCGATCAGAAGAATAGTAGCTTTTAACCAAAGCATCAACTCTGAAACCAAGCTTCTTGTATAAATTCATGGCAGCAGTCCTCGTCGGATCTACATGAAGCGAAATTCGATGCACGTTTCTGGTTCTGCATTTCTGAATTGCTGCCCTCAACAGTGACTCCCCGTAGCCTTGTCTTCTGTAATCCTCTTTCACTACACATTTCAGCGTGACAAGCAGAACAAAATGATTTAGATTTTCTCTGGGTACTTTTTATTAGATAGTCTTTTTTTTTTATATGATTTAATTTTGAGAATATTATATATATATATATATATTGAAAAGTATCCTGTTTGTATTTTAGAAATATTTTGGTAAATTCTGAAAATATTCCAAAAAAATCCTAATATTTATCGAACCATCTTAAATCTTATGTTTTTTTTATTATTTTACTCTTTTTTTTTTTGTGTGATTGTGTGCATTTTTCAGAAAGGTTCTTTTCGGTTTTGTCCATAGATATAATCATCTCTATCGAATCTACATTAAATCTTGTATTCTTTTTCTTTATTTTACTCTTTATTTTATGTGATTTTGTACATTTTTGAAAAATTTGTTTTCGGTTTGCTCGTAAGGATCTCTGCCAAATCGTATTAATATTGTATTTTTTTCTTATTTTGCTATTTACTTTGTACCGTTGTATGCATTTTTGGGGATTAGATTTTCTCTGGGTACTTTTATCAAACAGCTTATGAGTGTTGAGAAAAATAAATCGAATAGCCAAAATTGCAGGTCACTAAGAAAAAATCATGCAATCAAGCAAACCCTTAACGAGAGTTTCATGGAGAAGAAGCAGATTGTACTTAAATATTTGTAATGGAGGCAGAAATTGAAGAGAGATCAGATTTTCTGTGGGTACTTTTATCAAACAACTTATGGGTGTTTGAACAAAATCAATGAAAGATGCAAGATTGTAGGTCACAAAAAAAGAATCGTCCAATCAAGGAAGCCATTAACGAGATTGTAGATGGAGGAGGAGGAGATTTCTACCTGCAAGTTTTGTGATGGAAGCAGAAAGTGAAGAAGTCCAGGAGTACATGACATAGCCTGCAACTTTTCCATCAACTTCCGTGTAGATCAATCCGCCATTCTTCTTTCTCAGCTCACTGTCGAAGGACCTGGCCAGGGATTCATGTTTGGGGAAGATTTTCCTCTCCATCTTTACGATCTCCTCTACTATCTTATCCTTGTTTATCAAGCTCATTTGCAGCTCAGACATGGCGCCCACAGCGTCCATCTTTTCCGAGCCAATTTTCTCTTCCATTGTCTTGGAAGTACAAAGATTGGAGAGTTCAATCATTGTCGATCTTTTTATTTTTTAAATTTATTTTTTGCACCAAAGAAAGTTAAATTAGTATTTTTAAATTATTTAATTAAGAAAATCTAATTGATATAAAATATTTTTTTTTTTCGTTGAGAAATATAATAAACTCGTTAAAATTTGATCACAATACAAAATTAAAAAAAAAACGAAATATTCCTTTAAAAAAAAACGAAATCTACTAACATAACTCTCGTACTGACTAGATACAAAATTAAAGAGTTAAAATGCTAACGAAAAAATTAGATTAACCCATCTTCTTATTAATTACTTTAATATAACACGATTTTATTTAGAACAAGATAGAAGGAATTGAAGATTAATTGGTTCTAAGTGTCTAGCAAGAATTTGGTATTCAATAGTTCTCCACTAGCCATTTGTTGAGATCATTACTCTTCATTCCAAATTTAATCTTCCCACTTGCCACCCTCGTTCATTTGTCGAGAACTGGCGCCCTCGCTCATTTCTTGTAACTCGTTCATTTGCTGAGAATAATTATCTCCATTCATCGACTGAAAGTAATTGTCTCCATTCGTCGGCTGAAAGTAGTTGTCTCCATATACGGGCTGAGAGTAATTATCCTTATTCATGTGTCGAAACCCTTGATATCTATCTTTATCAATATACTGAAAATCTCTGAATCTTTGATGTTGTGTAGGAATTCTCATTGAACTTCCAGAAGCTGGAATCAACACCAAATTGATGTAGTAGGATATATAACGCATGAACCGAGCGGTCGAGCCATGTGGGAAGATGAGTGCAATAAAATGCATCATGAAAACAATAAGAAAAATGCTACTCAGCACTAAAACAACAATGAAAAGCCAAGTCAGCTTGTTTATGGCTAAACACACTGCAGCAGTGAATGCTAAGGACATGAAGCCAATAGCAATACCAAATAAATGCTTGGAAAATGTGTATGCTGTGATTGCTAGATATGCATCTCCTAGTTGAGCCCACATGAGGGTTACAAGTGTGATCATTGAGGTGTATAAAGATAGAGTGTTGCAAATCACAAACACATGAAACAACCCTTTCTTCAACATTGTTGCAATTCCTTGGTCAGGACAGTCACAGCCATTGTAACCGCCGGGCAAAGTGAAACCAGCCGTGAAAGTCACAGTTGCCACAAGGGTTTCTACTAGTAAAAGTGTATTGATCCTATCTTTTATCCATTCCATTTGAAGCGGCTCAAATTGTCTAATGATTTTTCTATCAGGTGTTACAAGTTTCAGATCAAAACTTCGATGAGAACCAGCAGATTTCAATATTTGTATTGTTTTTCTCTGTAAAATAAAAAAGATAATGTTAGTAATCTTACACTATTTCTTATATTTTTAGGTTCAAGTTAGTTTTCTTAATCAAACCTCTCGGAAGGTCCATTGTCCCTTGGTAAGCTGTAGAAAGGCAACATCTAGAGCTGTGAGGCAATTGTTGTTGACAAGCTTTATATTAACTCTCTTGTCCCAAGTTAGGTAAGTCACAGCCATTGGATGCCAATTCATTGCTGCTAAATGTAAAGGTGTATTTCCATTTCTGTCTTTCTCGTTCACTAGCTGTCCAAGTGAAGTAGTGTTAAGTATGAACTTCACTACCTTGCTTTTTCCACACTTGGCCGCAATGTGAAGAATATTCTGGCCTTCTTTTGTTAGCAACTCCTTTGGATCAGGCCACACTTTGAGCAGCTCTTTAATTACATGGACATGACCACTCTGGCATGCTAGATGAATTGGCAATGAACCTTGTCCGTTCCTTTCGAGAGCACTTGCACCAGAAACTTCTAATAGAAACTCAACTCCCGGAAGGTATCCTATCACTGCTGCAAAATGAAGTGGAGTACCCCCTTTGCCATCTTTCACTTTCAATAATTCTTTCTTTTCATTCACCATCTCCCTCAGTATATCTAAAATTCAAAACATTCAATAATGAACAATATTTAGTTATACACAATGAGAAGATACGTAGATTAACATGCATTTGTATTTCTTAAGTAAGAAATCGTAGGTTCAAGCAGTATTTCAATTGTATTATCATTGGTATATGTATATAGATTTAGTACTAAAAAAAGTAATGGGTATATAAAAGAAGATTAAAGATTGAGGAAAAGCATACTAGCTCGTTAATTTAAGTTCAGTCCACAGTCCATGTTGTTTTAAGAAAAAATTGAAGCAAATAGTATCTCTTTTTATGTTTTGTTTTAAACTCAGAATATTGACATAACAACTTTTCAGTTCTAATCTTTTATATAATCTGCCTATATGTGCATAATATATCGGAAAATATACATATAATGCGTATATATTCACATATAAAAGGAGGGGATTACCTAAATTCTTTTCCATAATAGCTGCATGAACAGGTGAGTTGTCTTCAAGCCTTTTCAAGGTAGTATCATTAATAACCAGAGCTCGTAAAAGTGGCTTAAGGATCTCAACATTACCAGCTTTAACAGCCATATACAACGGAGACCATCCTTCTTTATTCTGAAAATAAATCACTTCCGAGTCACCCGAGTTAACCAGGAACTCAACGATTTCACAGTCATGACTCATCACCGCCACATGCAACGGAGTATTCCCATTCACGTTCTTCATCTTCAACAACCAGCGATTGTTTGAAGACGGGGGTTGACTTGCACACTGAACAAGAGTCTTGATTATGGTCAACCTTGAAGCACGAGCAGCGAGATGAACCGGAGTGTCGTTTTTGATGTTTTTCTTGGAGATGAGAGAACGAAACTCGGATGCGAGATAAGCTGCCACTGAGTCATTTCCGTGACTCGATGCTAAGTGTAGAAGTGAGTCGCCTGATGGAGTTACTTGTTCGATGATGGTGCCGACAGGGATTTGCAGAGATGTTGAGATTTGGTGGAGAAGAGCCATGAATTCCTCGGTGTTAGAGTGTTTTGCAGCTTTGTGAAGTGAAGGATCCAGCAACATGGTCTCGTAGGATGACGACTTTGAAGGAAGTGATCTTGAGTTTTCTTGCTTCTGGTTTTCATGGCGGAATTTCTTTGCTTTATAATTTGATTCTGATGGCCTGGTGTTTCTCTTCCCCCCATTATTATTTTTCCTCCACTCCATGAGGCTTCTTCTACCTCTTTTCTCCCTAATCCAATCAACTTTTTCTCACATACCCACACCCCCATACACACACACACACACACACACATATATATATGTACAATTACCTGCACAGACATATATATATATATATATATATATTTTCTAAACTTAGTTCCACCTGCTCATATTTAATTTATATTTATGTCATTAAGAAACAATACAATCAATTGAAAAAAGAAATTATATAACAATTAAGTTCATTTAACTAAACTAGTCAACAATGGAAACCTATTTTTTTGAAAGTTAATGTTCATACTAAAATATTTAGAGAGTAATTTATAAAATAATGTCAATTTGTATATGCCCATGTGCATATATATATATATATATATATATATATATATTGCAAATGGGCATGATACCTATGAAAGTCAACTGAACTGCCTGTAAACAAATTTTCGTTTTATATCAAGTCTCACTGATTAATTGAATGACTGGTAAATCCATATATATATATATATATATTAAAACTGTTATAGATTCAGGTTGCAATTTACTCCACTATAGAGAAATTAAATGTGGACGACTTGACTTCATGTTCTGGTCTTATTTTTATAGGACTTGATCGATGACTTTGACTTTATGTGGATTGGGACAAGAAAATTTCAATAATCTCAACTATATATATATATATATATATATACAATTACTGTTATAATATGTTTTGATCTGATATATAATATTAAATTTTATTATAATGTGATTTAATAATATATATATATATATATACACACACATTAAATAGTAATATTGTGATGAATTGCATATATTTTGATTAGTTTAAGAAATGAAAGAATTGTATTAACAAGAGAGTTTGAAGGTTCGAGTATATTTATTAATTAAATGATATATATATACACACACCGATTATAACAAAATATAAAATTATTTTAAAAATAATATAAATAACTTTTAAATAAAAATATATTCGGAACATATAAGTTTATTAAAGAACGAAGGGAATCGTATAAATGAAAAAAAAATATTTCTACGATTTTTTTTTTAAGTAAAGAACATACAAGTTTATTAATTAAATAATATACATACACTAAATATAATAAAACATAAAAAATAATTTTCCGATATTTTATAGAAACAGGTACGTATCAATTATTAAATTAAGTGGTGGTACTATAATATATAATGCTTATTCAAAGTTAAATACGTTCATTAATTTTGTGCACTACTTTAATAATTAATACTTATTAAAATTATGAATTTGTATAAATTATTATTCAAAATATATTTTTTTAAGATTGTTTAAATCAAACGGAAGAATCGAGAAAGAAATTTTACTTTAGAAATATAAACATTGGCATAATAATTTAATATGAAACTACTAACCAATAATCTTAATTAATGCTAATATATATATATATATATAAAATTTTAGGCACAACAAATAATATATAATTTTCTTACATAGTTATAGAAGTCTCTCATCTTCTTACTACAAATGCTAATATATATATCATTATAAATTTGAAGTACAACTACATAATACATAGCTTTCCTACATATTTGTAGAAATCTCTCATTTCCTTACTATAAACGAAATCTTGCACTCTGATTCTAATTTTTGTTACTCTAAGAGTCGTTTCCCACTTACAGTTTCAATTCTTGATCAGATGTTCCTTCATTCTTGTATCAGCAAGTACATCATTAGGGTCTCTTGATTTATAATCTGCTGAAACCATACGCATTCACAACCCTCCTTAACTACCGATTGGAATTGTTGGTGTTATTATTTTTAACCGGAAATCTCATTGAATTCCCGGAAGCTGGAATCAAAACTAAATTGATGTAGTACGAGATGTAACGCATGAATCGAGCTGTAGATCCATGTGGGAAAATCAGTGCAATGAAATGCATCATGAAGATGATAAGGGAAATGGTTCCTAGTGTTAAAACAAGTACGAAAAGCCAAGTTAGTTTGCTAATTGCTATGCTGATAGCAACCATGAATGCCAAGGACATCAAGGCAAGGGAAACCCCGAACAAGTGTTTGGAGAGTGTATAAGCTGTAAGAGCTAAATAAGCATCACCTAATTGAGCCCACATGAGCGTTACTAGCGCGATGACAGAAGAGTAAAATGATAAGGTATCGAAAATCACAAATGCTTGAAGCATTCCTTTCCTCAACAATGTTGCAATTCCTTTGTCAGGACAATCACAACCATTGTAACCCCCTGGTAAGGTGAAACCAGCGGTAAAAGTCACAGTTACCACAAGTGTTTCCACTAGTAAAAGTGTGTTGATCCTATCTTTAATCCATTCCATTTGGAGTGGCTCAAAGTTTTTAGGGACTACTTGTCCTTGTTGCTTGAATATTTTCGAATCCAAACTTCGGCTTGAACCAGCAGATTTCAACACTTGAATTGTTTTTTTCTACAAAAAAAAAAACATAAAGATATTAAAACTTATGATGTATTATATTTTCAAACTCAAATATGAATAAGGTTTCAAACCTCTCGAAACATCCTTTGCCCCTTGGTGTTCTGCAATGCAACATCGAGAGCCGTCAAGCAACTATTGTTGACAAGTTTTACATCAACTCTACTATCCCACGTCAAAGAAGTAACAACCATGGGATGCCAATTCATTGCTGCTAAATGTAGAGGTGTATTTCCATTTCGATCTTTCTCATTTATTAACGATTCCAATGAAGAAGTCTTGAGAATAAATTTCACCACCTTATTTCTTCCACATTTAGCTGCAACGTGAAGAATATTTTGACCTTCTCTATTAATTAACTCCTTTGGATCAGGCCATTTCTGAAGTAAATCTTGAATTACTTTAATATGACCACTTTGAGATGCTAGATGAATAGGCAAAGATCCTTGTAAATTCTTTTGAAGAGCACTTGTGTCATTACAATTTCTTAACAAGAACTGAACTCCGGGAAGGTACCCTATCATTGCTGCAAAATGAAGCGGAGTTCCCCCTTTCCCGTCTCTCACTTTAACTAGTTCCGGTTTTTGATTCACTATCTCTTCCAACATATCTGAAAATTCTAACTCAAAAGGTTAGTACTTACAAGATCTTTAAACGAGAAAAGTGAAAAAGCAGAGATGATTAATCACCTAAATTCTTCTCCATAATGGCGGCATGAACTGGTGAGTTCCCTTCTAACTTTTTCAATGTACTATCATCAATCACCAGAGCTTCTAAAAGTGGTTTAACAGTCTGCAGATCACCTGTTTTCACAGCCATATACAATGCCGACCACCCTTCTTTATTCCTCATGTAAATCAACTCACTGTCAGCCGAAACCAAGAACCCTAATATTTCATAATCAAGACTCATCACCGCCACATGTAACGCCGTGTTCCCATTCACGTTCGTCTTCCTCAAAAACAACTTTGACCCTCCCCTGTAATATTCATTCCCACACCGAACAAGATTCTTTGTTATATTCAGTTTTCTGGCTCGAGCCGCCACGTGCAGCGGAGTGTCACCTTTGATGTTTTTCTTGCCGATGAGGAAGGGAAACTGAGAAGCTATATGAGCCGCTAGGTCTTCGTTCCCATGACTCACTGCTAAATGTAGAAGCGAATCACCAGATGGGCTTTCCTGGTTGAAAATGGTGGAGATTTCTAGTTGAGTGGATGATGAAACCTTCTCTAGTTCATTAATGAACTTCTCGACGTTGCAGTGTTTTGCAGCTTTGTGTAGTGCAAGATCTAGCAGTTTCTGATCCTTCCCCGCCATTGATGAAGATGATCTTGAGCTTTCTTCTCTGTTTGCTGCAGAGACGTGTTGTTTTGCTTTCAGAAATTGCTCATTATCTATTTCTTTCTGACCAAGATTATTGGAGTCCATGAGGGTTTCTCTCTTTCTTGAATCGGTTTCAGGTTGAAGATTGTTGATATGATTCCAATGAGTTAAAAACAGAGGATGCTGATCATTAATTAATGGTCCAACAATGGTGATAACTCGACCCCACGCCCGTAGAAAATCTTATCTCTTTCGGACAGCCAGGTTTGAATTTCATGTGTCGTATTTATATCATTAAATACAATGGATTTGGTGAAAGAAGATCCATTGAGAAGTTGACACGTAAGACCCATGTATTTTTCTCATTTAAAGCGTCTGACTTCATTGATGTTATTGGTTGGTGATGATGATGATAGATGTATATATAATATATATGGATGCTAATTGCTGTAGTTCCCACTGCATGGATAGCAAGACGCACCGTTTCCACGTGTTGAACTTTCTTCCTGATTGGCACGTGTTAGAATTACATGCACGCAGGCACGTGTCTCCCTCTCTCTCTCTCTGATTCATTCGTCTCCTTCGTCTTCCCTCGCAAATCCCATTACAACTCTGGATTAACCCTCTGCACCAGAAGCCCTTTTAAATTCTCGACAATGGTGAAACTAGCATCAGCAAGAGAGAGCCGGATGTACGGAACCCGGCTAGCGAGAAACCGGGCGGAGTATATAAACGCAGGGTTGTATTTATTCGCCACCGTCTTGCTTTTAAGTGGGTTTGCCACCGAATTCTCGTTTGCACCAAAATCGGGTCTCGTTCTTTTGCTTATAGCTTTGACGCTTCTAACCGCCGTTAATATTCACGATCTTCTTGCTCATCTCGCCGGGATTGATTACCAGTTCGGGTTATTACAGTACGATACTCAGTTTGCTCTCGTCGAGTTCGCCGTCCCTCTGGTTTATGCCGCCGGCTCACTGGTTTTCTTCTTAGGAATTCTTTTTATTTTTCTTCAGGTGGGTTTTAAAAACAGAAACAGAGCATGAATATCTGTTGGGGAAAGTTCCTTTTTATTTTTCTTCTACTTATGTTCTATGCTTTAGAAAGTTTCTTTTCAACCTCTTTAATTTTAATGCATTACTAACAGTATCTAGTGAAATACTAACATCTTCATACAGTACAGTATCGACGGAAGTCATATAAGAAAATGTCAGTGAACACGATACAATCAATGTCTGATTTTAATTATCAATCTTGAGTTCTATGGTATTTAGGTCCATAATTATAGAATTGAACTCATCAAGATGTTTAATGAGCTTACACTCATTCTCATATTGTACAATATCTCCGAACCATTTTCTTTATCTCTGTTGGAGAGTTGACAAGAAATTTTGGTTTGATAACCAGGCAGAGAAGAGGAAAGGATACTTGAGATTCCAAGAACATGCTTTGAACATGCTTATTGCGGGTCCTGCTTTATGGGTACTCGGATCAATCCACAACTCGTGTCAAATCTACGAGCGAGCCGATGGACATGTTCAGATCTTGCAGGAATCTGTTCTTGTCCCGTTCTTGATGGGGAGTCTACTGTTCTTGGTGGGCGCTGTGCTCAACACCCATGAACAGAGTAAATTAACCCACATGGGAACAGAGTTACTGGTAATTAAACAGCAGCCATTGATTTACAGAAAAAAGAAAACAGAGCTATTTTGAGCAGAAATTATTCATTTTTGCAGGGGACAAACTGGGTGTCATTAGGGATTGTTGGAAGCTTGTTGTTGTTCATTGGTGGGTTAGCGAACCTTGTGAAAGTATTCAACATGCAGCAAATTGCAGGACTGAGGCTGGAGAAATTAAGAGGAGGAGCTCAGGAGAGATTGATTCAAGAAAGGGAAGGTCAGGCTCCATTGATTCTTGAGGAACAGGGAAGAAGAAGAAGAAGCAGTAGAGAAGTGGAGGAAAATAAAGGAACCGTTGGGCCTGCAGCTCCTTATAAGGAAGCTCTTGTTGGTCCTTCTTGAAAGTTTTTTGCTTGTTTGGTTCTGATCTTGTTGGTTCTTTTAGAGGTTTTTGATTTGTGCTTCTGTTTGTTCCCCAATTCAAAACCTTGGATTATAGCTTGCATGGATCGATAAGTATATTGTATATATGCTACACCATATGTGTATATATATATATATATATATCACACCTTGTATAGGCATGATTATGAATGCCTTCTCAAAGGATTCACCATCCTATCACCAAATACAAAACTTTCTCTCTTAGAAGCATGAATTGTATCCTAAAGAGGAAACAAGGGTGTTTCAGTTTTGAGCAGGGCATATATATATATATATATACATATGTACATACACACGCGCATAAACACGTCTATAAAAGGTAATATTTAAAGGAATTCTTGAATTTAATGGGATGATTAGCTTCTCAGCGAGCCAGTGTTTTCACATGCATTATATTTAACATATTTTTGAATTAATCAGAAATTATGTATTAATAAACTTAACATGTAATATTTAATTTAATGATGTTAATATGTAATATAACAGTTAATAAAAAATTAAAATAATTAATTTAATTTAAAATTAAATTATAGATTAATTTGAACAAAAATAAATATTAAAAACATTAAATATTAGAAACTCAACGACGCCACATGCAAGTCGGTAGTCAGAAGTCAAATACACGTGTGTAGAGTCAAAAGCACACGTGCCAAAGACAAGCGGCGAACGGACTTCACCGCACTGTTTGAGTATAAGGAAAGGCAATGCTTTATGTTCTCCAGTGTTATTTTCTCGTTCAGGCTAAACGCTGCGTTTTGTATTTCCTCCTCTTCTTACAAATGTTGTCTAGATATTTTTTCCCGGGAAAGTGGAAGCACCGTCGATGGAAAATTTTCAAACTTTACTCAACGCATCACCAAAAACCGGAAATTTATCACGCGGATGTCGTCTGTACAAATGTTTCGATCACCTCGGAAGTTAAAAGTGGCCGCCTAGACACTGCACGTAAGCTGTTCGATGAGATGCCATTACGAACGGTTGTCTCGTGGAACGTCATGATTTCTGGGTACTCAAAATGGCGTAGATTCAGTGAAGCTATAGGATTAGTTTCCGCCATGCATCGCGGAGATATGAAACTTAGTGAGACCACTTTTTCTACCGTGTTAAGTGCGTGTGCGAATTTGGAGTTGTTAGATGATGGGAGACAAATTCATGGGCTTGCTCTGAAATCTGGGTATGAGGATTTTGAGTTTGTGGGGAGCGCTTTATTGTACTTTTACGCAAATTGCTTTGAAATTGAAGAGGCGAAGCGGGTGTTTGACGAGTTGCATGGAAATAATGAGTTGCTGTGGAATCTGATGCTTGTGGGATACGTGAAATGCAGGTTGATGAGGGATGCGCTGGATGTGTTTGAGAAAATGCCGAAACGGGATGTTGTGGCTTGGACAACGTTGATCTCTGGGTATGCGAAGAATGAAGATGGTAGCGAGAAAGCTCTGGAGTTGTTTAGGGGGATGATGAGGAGTAGTGAGGGTATGCCAAATGAATTTACATTGGATTGTGTGTTGCGTGCTTGTGGTAAACTTGGCCTTTTGCTTGAAGGAAGGATGGTTCATGGTGTTTTGATCAAACATGGGTATGAATTTGATCCGTCAATATGTGGTGCATTGATTGAACTCTACTGTGAATGTGAAGCTATTGATGATGCTAAGAGGGTTTATTATAGAATTGAATATCCGTGTTTAAATGCTTCGAATTCTTTTCTTGGTGGGTTAATAATGAAGGGTATGATTGAAGATGCGGAACTGATTTTTAATCGGATCTCTGAAGTGAATATGGTTTCATATAATTTGATGATTAAAGGGTATGCACTTGGCGGTCGAATTGAGGATTCGAAAAGATTGTTTGAGAAATTACCCAGCAGAACAATTGTTTCTTCCAACATAATGATTTCCATTTATTCCAGGAATGGTGAAATAGATAAAGCTTTGAAACTTTTTGAAGAAACAAAGGAGGAAAGAAACCCTGTGACCTGGAATTCAATGATGTCAGGGTATATTCATAATGATCAGCATGAAGATGCTTTGAGACTTTACATGACCATGCACAGATTATCAATAGAGCATACTAGATCAACATTTTCTGTTATATTTCATGCATGCTCATGTATTGGGTCTCTTCAACAAGGACAACTATTCCATGCACATTTGATTAAAACACCTTTTGAGTCTAACCTTTATGTTGGAACATCCTTGATAGATATGTATGCTAAATGTGGGAGTATCGCAGATGCTGAAACATCACTCATCAGCATCTCTTCACCCAATGTGGCGGCATGGAGTGCTCTTATTAATGGGTATGCACATCATGGACTTGGGTCCAAGACGATCTACCTCTTTGAGAATATGTTAGAACAAGGAGTGCTCCCTAATGGAGCCACTTTTGTTGGAATTCTCTCTGCTTGTGGTCGTGCTGGTCTAGTCGCTGAAGGCATGAGATTGTTCCATGCAATGGAAAGTGGCTATGGTGTAATACCAACTATGGAACACTATGCATGTGTTGTTGATCTTCTTGGTCGGTCAGGTCATCTCAAGGAAGCTAAAGACTTCATCGAAAAGATGCCAATTGAAGCAGATGGAGTTATTTGGGGATCTTTGCTTAGTGCTTGTTGGTTCTGGATGGACATGAAAGTGGGTGAGCAGGTGGCACAAAAGATGTTTAGTTTGCATCCCAAGCCAATATCTGCTTATGTTACTTTGTCTAATATATATGCAATGCTGGGAAAGTGGGAGGAGAAGATTGAAGTGAGGAAGCGATTGAGGGGCCTGGAAGTGAAGAAGGATCCAGGACGTAGTTGGATTGAGCTGAACAGCAAAGTCCATGTATTTTCTGTAGATGATAGGATGCATCCACGTTGTAATCTAATTTATGCTACATTGGAGCATCTAACAGTAAATCTAAACTCTATTGTTCAATTGGAATCTATTTCTATATCAATGAAGGGTGATGAATATTTTAATGCAGCATACTATGACTGTGCAAATTCTTCTTAGTTACATTGCTGGATTTTTCTTTAGGATGCCACTGGAAACTTGTAGATCTCTCTCTATAAACAGATATAAGAAAACATCTTCCCTCACATATATCTCTTAATTATTCATCTATCTCGTTTGTTAGCATTGTGATAACATCTTTGATATGTCAACTTTAAATGTGCTTGATAGTTTTGGATGGTTTTATTCTAGTTTATGAACTAATAATTTGGTATTCTTTTTTTTTTACACACTTGTTTGTTGTAGCATATCTCCCTTTTAGTGGCTGAGGTAGGCACGCTTGAAATGTTTCCTGAATCTTTCAATAATGTCTCAGCTTGAAAATGCAGCAGATTCTGCCATTTCTCTGGATCTCTTATAATCAACCACACGTTGCAGAGGGCCTGCGAGCCTTTGAGAATGGTGTAGCCACCCATTTCTCATGGTCTTTTATAACCAACCACACGTTGCAGAAGGCCTCCAAGCCTTTGAGAATGGTGTAGCCACCCACGGCTTTGGAGTCACTAGGACTCCAAGAGATGAGGAGACCAAATGGTGGGTGTAATCCCAATGTTTCTTTCACAACTGCTTGTAAATACTGAGTTTTGGAAGATGAGACTCCTCTACAATGTCTTCATCTCCGGTGACCTTGTCTAATTCTTAATCAATTTTTCTCATTTTCTCTGGAGTCTGCAGCAACTCTGTCATTGCCCATTCTGCGGTGGTGGATGATGTATCCGTCGCACCACAATCATGTCCTGTGAAAAAATTTATCAAACACTTAAACAAATTACTTCAAAAGTTAAATTGATATAAACTTGTACCATGAATATAGCCTTGATGTCTGTCATAGATAAAAAGATTTTTACATGATCTCCCTGTCATGTTAGCTCCAATAAAGATTCCAACAAGTCCTTCCCTTCTCCAGTATCTGTAACTTGATCCACAAGTTTTAGTTACTCTGCTATTACTCCTTCCAGTGCTCTATCCATCCGGAGAAAGCTTTTTCATTTTCCATATAATTCCCTGTAAATCAAACAGGGCAAGAACAGGCAAGAAATCAGAAATGTACCCAGTTGGATTTTAACCCTTGGACTGTAAATTTGAGACAACTTGGCAAGATAAACATGGACACTGGATACAACAAACGGAAGGTTTCCTAGTAAAGGCAAGCATCTTGAACTAGGTGGCCATGGTGATTTTTACCTTGACTGGTTCTGAGAATTATCAACATGATATACCAGGTAAAAATAAGTGTTGCGGCCAAGAAAATAGCCGTCATGGTGGTGTGCTCGGCGATCCCGTCCCACCGCCATGACCGCAATTCGAAG